AATAATAGTAGTTAAAACGATTTATATAAATGATAATTTTTTACTACTTTTATATTACTTAATATTAAAAAATTAAGTTATAAAAGATTTATTATATATAATCATTTTAATAAATTTTCTATTTACTTTATATATGAAATCAAATTTTATATTCCTTTTAATTAGCCAGTTATTAATAGCATGTTAGTTTTTTTTTACTTACATTCTAATCTTTAAAATTAATTAAAAGCAAATAAAAAATTAAATAAAAGTTAATCACAACATCGTTATCATTGTAGGGACATTAAACATTATGGGTTACTTTATTTAAGCTTATTCAATGAATTATAAATTATTTTATGTACAATATTTAATGTTTCATTAAGATGTTTGTGACACTGTCATGAAAACATTACGAACCAAATTAAGAGCATTTATTGTTTTGATAGCGCAACTAAAGATTGGGCATATGTTTGTCATAAAAGACTTGGGTCTTGATATTTTAAGTTTAAGAACACAAGATTTATTTATATGTCTTTCAAAATATATTTTAAATCAAACAAATATAATGCATAATTATTTCATATGGATATGACTTTTTTGTCATACATGACATGTGTGTTCTTACTTGGAATTTTGTTAATGTGTTGTCATTCAGTCACTTACCTACTTAACACTGACTCTGAGTTTCAAGTTTGGCAGGGTACTAGTTCAACTCTTGGTACTTCAGTTTCAAGAAAACTATTTACAAATAATAACATATAAGAAATATTCCCAAAAAGACTATTGATGATGGATGGATATTTGGAAATACTCGAAATAGGTGTGTGGTCAGCCAAAAACTCAATTAATTAAAAATTGCAATTTTGTTGCAATTCACTACTGTTCAAAAGACCTCTCTATTAAAACAATTGTTTCTATTAAGAAAATAGTTTCTTTAGTCTTATTTGTTAAAAAATTTTAACAATTGTTAAAAACACAAATTTAATATAGATATGACTACATAATTACGAATACAAACTAATTGTCAGTTAATAATAATGTGTATGTATTTGCATCACAAAAGGAAACTAATTTTTAAGTTGTTGAACTAAAATAACAGGACAATTCTGGCAGAGATCATAAAGTCTTTCGTAAGATCTTTGTTAGATCGAACGTAAGACTGTTTATAAGCTGTTTGCTATTCTGGCACAAAAGTCTTTCAAAAAAGGTTTTACCATTTGTAATTCGTGGTAGAAAACTCTTTTCTTCTATTTCTTTTGTGGTGAAATCAAACACAGCTGCTAATAGCTACCACATACGTGTAAACGATTGAATTTTAATAAAAATGTGATGAAAAGCCACAAGATATATATGTAATTATTATTATTATTTATACATAAATAATTATTTGTTGAATTTATCTTATCTCATGAAAGAAATAATAGCAGCTATTGTTGCTTTAATAACAGTAGTCGCAAAAAAAAACTAATTAGTTTTACAATTACAGCTTAAATACGTATATTAATAAATAAATAAACCAAGTTAAATAAATATTAAAATTTATATATATAAAAAAAATAATATAAACATTTTATATTATATATAAAATGTATATTTTAAATTTTCTACAAAGATAGTATAATATAACAATACATTTACGTTTGCGTGGTATTAAAAATGAAATTAGAAATTGTTCAGTTTTTTAATTTTAATTCATTAATTTATTATTAATTTTTATTCTAATTTTAATGTTTTTTTTTTATATAAAAGGAAGTTGGTACACGAAAAACACAAACAAAATCTTATTTTACAATTAAGAGATTTGATCAATAGCAGATCTTTCATTTGGTGTTTCGAAAGACTGAAAAGAGATTTTCTGACTAAAATAATTAAAATAAGAAATTAATGGATTTGAAATGAGTGTAGTGTTGAACCTAACATAGAGTCTGAAGCCTGCTTTGACATACATTAGGAGTTTGATATTTATGTTTTTCTCTTACTGTTTCGCTTCAACCTCAAAAATATAGTTATTATATACTCAAATAATAAGGCCAGCACTACTGTACGGATGTGTAACATATAGCAAAGCCTCAAATACTGCCATAAAGCCATTACATATAGCACAAAACCTGGCATTAAGAAGACTAATTAAGATTCCTTGGCATATTAGAACAGACATGCATAGAGATCTAAGGATCGACTCAGTGATAAAACATAACAAGGACAGAGCCCTGAAATTATTCACAAAAGTAATATGTTGCCCAACCCCGCCCTAACAAACCTTAAGTCCACCTCAGGACGCACAGGAAGATATTCAGTTAAAAGATTAATAAAGGATAATAATTCTAGTGTAGTTACAGCTCAATGTGAGGAGTAAAAGTGCGCAATAGCACTAACTCAAACTACAGAAACAACAACATAATACTTAGCAAAGCAAGTTTTTTTTGTGTTATATATATAAATTTTTAAAAATATGAAATTAATCAGTGTTCAACAATACGTGCTGACAAGTTTATAAGAAATCTAGAGCAGATGAACGTGAACCAGCAAATTAATATAAACAAGCAAATGAACATAAAGAATAAAATTAATAATTAAGTGGTTTGTAAATTAAGTTGCCGCCTGCTTAGATCTATAGTTTAAATCGAGATTTATTTAATTAAAAATGAAAGCATTTAGTTCAAATTTGGTAAATAATGCTTAAATTTGACCGTTTTAACTATATAATACCTATAATAGCTATTTCACTATCACAATTTTTAGTATATACGTATTTAATATATATACATATATAGTACTATACGTATTTTTGAAAATTCGTTTTTGTATTCATGAGGAGAATTCATAATATTATATAAGGAATACACAATATTTAAAAGAACTTGCTTAAAATGCAATATGGGGACCAGAAATATTATATGGTTAAAAAATATTTCAATTTAAACAGCCCATTTAACTACACTAATATAGTAATATAGTCTAGTTAAAGCCTAGTGTGGGGTAGAGATAAGCCCCCGAGCTATTATAGAGTAAAAGTGCGTAATAGCACTAACTCAAGAAGACGAAGAATCAAGAAGGCTACTAAATAAACATTTTAGATAAATTTAAATAAAATTAATTATTAAATATAATAATTAAAAAATGAAAATAAAAACATAATTAATTAATTCAATTATTCTATAGCTGATATATGATTTCGTTCTAATATATAATACAGTAAGCGAAATTATTAATGAACTTTCACAGCAAATTAACAAAATTCCAGAAAAAAATTGCTGATATAAATATCAAATACGGTTTTGGGTCAGTTGGCTTCTAATTTGGCAGTGCACGAGTTTAACTCTGGGTACTTGCAGTCTCAAAAAATTTTTTTACGAATAATTAAATACAAAAAATAATTGCCAGACCACTGATGATGGCTATTTGGCAATACTCAAAAGAGTTATATGGTAAGCCAAAAATTCAATTAATTAAACATATAAAAAGAATTTTTTATGTTATAGATCACGACTTTTCGAAACTCCTCTATCAAATACCACAGTTTCAATTAAAGTAAATATAGTCACTTCTGTCATATTGACGTTAAAATCAAATTAAAATAAATATATTCTAGAAATTTGAAAGTTTGTTTTTTAAAGTCTTTATTAAAAACACTCAGTGGTCACTTTTTAATTACTTATTTTTGAATATAACTAAATCTTACTAAACTATAAATATACAAATTGTATTATTAACAAATTGTATTATTAACTTTTAGAATATATTGTTTTGTGCAATGTGATTATTTATATCAATATTAGGTTAAAGTTAAACATAAATGATAATATCCATAACTACTTATTGCAACCTCTTACGTACTTTAAATATCACAATTCGTCAAACGATTACTTTAGAGTATAGAGAATTAAAAAAAAAAATAACATGAAATAATTTAAAAACAAAATTAAAAAAATTAATAAGGAAAATTAGAAGAATTAAAAAAATATAAATGAATTGGAAAAAAAAATTAAGAAAACTAAAAAAATAAAATAAAAATTATTTGAATAAAAAACATTACACAATCAAATTAGCTTATTAATATTATAGTAAGTAAGGCTTCTATTTTGTTATTTAGCTATAAAAAAAGATAAGGTAAAGATAATGATAGCAACTAAGAAGAGAAAATTGATATAGCACATCGCGTTTTTGTGTAAGTTCTCTAAAGAAAAGGCTATTTTTCTGGGATTAAAAGTTAATTAAAACTTAATGTTATGTAGGGGTTAATTATGGATTAACATTGCATTAAAAATTGAATATGACTGCTTTGTTTGCCGACAAGGGATGAAGTACATATATTGTAACACTAGTCTTTTGAATAGAGTTTTGTTCTCCATAGATAATAAATTAAACGGTTAACTATAAATATTACCAATAAGAATATACAATGCAAAATGAAATTTTAAACGAATTAAAATATTAAGTAAGTTTACATTTTCGAAAATTGTATATTTAACTAATTTTTGAACATGTGTTAATATTTATTAAAAAGCATATAACCACATAAATGAAAGACAATGACTTTCATTCTAATAAACTGTAGAAAAATACTAATAATTAGAATATATTATAAAAAAGATATATATATATTCAGATTAGTCTTGATATTAGGATTAGATACATGATCCTAGAGATCCAATTAGACCTATTTAGTTGCTATATAAAGGGTAATAATTTCGAATCTAAGATATTTAGTGTCTTATTTTTTGATGAAATAATAATTATAACAAGAACTTATTTAAATTTTACTATTTTTACATTTAGTAATCAAATTTATAAGATTTATAAAATATCAATACTGCTTTAGTTTTATTAATACCACGATTGTATTATTGTAATGGACTAATTGTAAATAAATAATTTAAAACTTAATTAATATTATAGAAAACATATGAATATAAAGAAAAACTTAGAAAGGAATTGCTCTGAAAATTTTTAAGTATAACAAAACATAATTAATTTTAATATATAAAATTTGGCATTCAGAACAATTCAGACAAATTCTACAACTGAAAATTAGTAAAAATTTAAAAATTAATTAATAAATAAAATGCAAAAAGTTGTACTAAGAAAATTACACACACCCAAACATTAAGTTGCTATAATAAATTAGAAGACATATTTTATATTTATATATTACCTGCATTCTTGGTGGACCTGCATTTGGACCACCTGGAGGGCCTTGTGGCATATGTTGAGGCCTATATTGCCCAGGCGGCATATTGGGATTAATCATACGAGATGGATGCCCAGGAGGTACGCCTTGTGGACCAGGATGTGGAGGCAAAGGCCCGCCAACGTTCATATTTGGCGGTGCTGGACCACGTGGTGGTCCATTAGTTTGTGCTGGTGGAACTGGACGTGTTTTTTGTAAACTTTCGAACTGATTTAATGCTTGTTTTGTTGGATAAGTGACAACAGGCGCTTGTCCATGCAGTTCTTTTTTTGGTAAACGCTCAAGCACCATACGTAAACTAGGCTCTGAACCTAATGATATGACACAGAATCCTTTTGATTGACCATTCGAACGATTTTCGAAAAATTTAACCTCTTGAAAATCTGTGATACCTATATCACGCATTGCACTTGATATATCGTGATCAGTTGTCCACTACAAAAACAAAACAAATAAATTAGAGTTTCAACAAATAAAATATGTCACTAAATATGGATATTTTAAGAAAACACTTTTACCCATGTTAAATTTCCAATATAAAGTTGAAAACGACGTCCCGCTTGATTAGGAGTTAGACTACCACCTCCTTGATGGTATACTCCGTTTGACCCATTTCCAGTGCCATCACTACCACCAGCATTGGAACCATCACCGGTGACTGAAGCAGCAGCACTAGATCCACCAACAGTACTTTCATTGGGACCACCTATATCATCATATAAATCTACTCCATCTCCACAAAACTCATCCTAGTAATAAAAAATTTTAATTTATTTATATATATACATATATATATATATATATAATTTCTTAACCACACCTGACTTTGCGGTGGAAAATCTTTATCCAAATCTTCGGCGTATAAATCAAGCACAACGCCATCAGCCATATTTATTGTGATTTGTTCTAATGCACCACCGAAAGGAATAACTATAGTTTCTCACAAAACACAAAAAAGTTGCAAATAATAGTCGATATGCAATACGCGTTCTTTTTTAGGCAGACCGGCAAGGTTTTACACTCAATTATACTGTATTTTTATTAAAAATTAACTTACATTTCTTTAAACAACATAAGTATTTTACAGAGTTAATTTTATTTCATGATAATTTTATGAAATAAACTTTTCATATTTAACATATGTAATCAAAAACCTTAAAATAAAATTGCTTCCCGACGCTATGAAAAACCTAGCTCGCCGAAAAAGAAAATGGAACGAACGAGTAAGTGAGCCGAAAAGCGCGGAAAGCAAAATGTGCATTTAAATGGATGTAAAACAGATATCAAAAAATAAAAGAAGCCCATCTTTATATTTTCAAATTTAACGATTACATATATGATTTATATGATAAGTTTAGGTATGTTTTAAATCATCGTTTATATATCAATTTAAGAATATAGCATTTTTTACTATATTTACTTTATCTTATTTTAATTGAAAATGTGTAATGGTCAGCTGATATGCAATAAAAGAAACGTAACGAGCCACAGTTATTCATAATTTCGTCATATTTAATTTTATTTAACTATTTTGCAGTCATGCATAGTCATACCACATTTTGTGTATATCAATAAAATACACATGTATAATTTGCACCAAAGAATTTGGTCAATACGTAAAGCGAGTGAAAAGCATATGATATTTGACTTTGAGCTATGTTATGTTATGTAGTGTCTCGGACAATTGCATGAGTGCAATTGTTGTTATTTTCAATACAAATTTTAAAGTCAGAAAGAAACAATATGTTGAGAGTCAGAAAAAAACAATATGTTAGTTGAAATTTTGTCATGAGAGCCGGGCAATTTGTGCCTATTAATTTAAAACCATATTATGTAGTGTCTCGGGCACGGCAAAATTGGCTATTTCGGGCTATGATGAAAATGCATGTTATATGGAGTGACACATCAGTATTGTCAATTTCTCACTTTCAATTTTATAATTTGCATTGTTATTTTGTTATTTTGCTCGTGGCGAGCCCATGGAAAGGTAAACTGTGTAATTTGATTTTTATTAAAAACGTTAGTAAACACTTTCTATAGTTATTTATAGTTATAGATATTAAATAAATTATATATTTGTATTTAAAATTGTTTGATTTGTAGTACGAGTATATAACATATGCATATAAAAAACTGTTGGCAATTATATATTCTATAGATATTTAAGTAATTTTGTTTAATAACGGTAGGTATTAATTTTTGAAAAGAGAAAACTTTTTGAAAAGTTTTATTGTAAAGAAAAATTTTAATTACATAATATTGTATAGATATATATTGCAAGCATTTTCAATATAAGGCACTGAGGAAGTAAGTATATCATAAAATCTTTATTTTTAATAATTGAATATGTAATTGATATATAAAATGTATATTTGTTTGGGTGATATTTTATTAAGTGAAGTTTATAAAAGTTCTATCAGGTGCATGAATGAGCTCATTATAATGTGAATATTACTCTGTTACTATTACTCTGCTTAAAAAAAAAACAAATATAAAAACTGCTACATCTATAAAACTTCAAAGCACTAAAATTTGCAGAATATAACTAAAAAGAAATTTAGAGAAAAGGAAGTTTGCTAATGTGTATATTTATTTTTAAAAATATCGCTTATGCTTAAATGTACTAAATCAAAAAGACAACAATGCAACTTATTGAAAAATAAATAGTTTGCTATGTAAATTTAAGTTACAAATTAAGCATCTAATTGAATTAAAATATAAACGGGAACATAGTTATCCTAAAAAAAAGTTGAAATGTGGGACTCGTCTATGTTTTTGAGCACCCTGACGCCAAAATTTTATGTTGCACTAACAGGCACATCAAGTCTCATATCTGGACTTATACTTATATTTGAATGGTGGTACTTTCGTAAATATGGCACGTCTTTTATAGGTAATAGCTTGTTTACATTTATTGCAAATTTGAGTTATGCTAGTTCAATAAAACATGTATGTATGTTTTGTTAATGTTATTTCAACATCAGAACAAGTTTCCATAAATCATATAAGTCCATGGATTAATGGTACTGATCCTCAAACGGAAGGAAACGGTAGTAGTGCTAGTGGTATTAATGGTTCATCTACACCAGGCACCGGGCAACAAATGCCAGAATGTAAAGTTTGGCGTAATCCTTTAAATCTTTTTCGTGGTTCTGAATATCAACGATTTTTCTGGGCGACCACTAAAGAGCCTCTAACATATTATGATATGAATCTAAGTGCACAAGATCATCAAACTTTTTTTACTTGTGAAGGTAAGTGATCTGATATTTTTAATTTATATTTGTAAAATTTTTATTTATTTAGGGGATGCTCGTAAAGAAGAATATGAAATTATGCAAACTGCATGGCGCGAACGTAATCCAGTGCAACGAATAAAATCTGCTAGAACAGCACTTGAACTCAACTCAGAATGTGCACCTGCTTACATACTACTTGCAGAAGAAGAGGCTACTACAATACAAGAAGCCGAAAAAATACTAAAAACTGCGTTGAAAGTAGCAGAAATGAATTATCGTAAGTCACAAGCTACGCAACACCAGGGTCCAGTGGCTGAAGGTATCCATAGACGAGATACAAATGTACTCATTTATATAAAACGTAGGTTAGCAATGTGTGCGCGTAAATTAGGAAAATTAAAAGAAGCAGCAAAAATGTTTCGTGATCTAACTAAAGAGATTCCATCCATTATGAATGTATTAAATATACATGAGAATCTCATTGAGACATTGTTAGAAATGCAAGCGTATGCAGATTGTCAGGCAGTTTTGGCAAAATATGATGATATATCATTGCCAAAATCAGCAGCAATATGTTATACGGCAGCATTATTAAAAGCACGTGCAGTAGCAGATAAATTTTCACCTGATATTGCTTCAAAGCGTGGATTAAGTCCTGCAGAAATGAGTGCTGTGGAAGCTATACATCGTGCCGTTGAATTTAATCCACATGTACCTAAATATTTACTTGAAACAAAACCTCTTATTTTGCCACCAGAACATATACTTAAACGTGGTGACTCTGAAGCACTTGCATATGCATTTTTTCATCTGAAACATTGGAAAAACGTTGAGGGTGCTTTAAATCTATTACATTGCACCTGGGAAGGTACATTTCGCATGCTACCGTATCCATTAGAGAAAGGTCATCTTTTTTATCCCTACCCTACTTGTACAGAATGTGCTGATCGGGAACTTTTACCGGCGTTTCATGAAGTTTCAGTTTATCCTAAAAAGGAATTACCATTTTTCATACTTTTTACAGCGGGACTGTGCTCATTTACAGCTCTTTTGGCGTTGTTAACACATCAGTATCCTGAGCCAATGGGGTTCTTGGCACAAACTGTACTTACTTGGATATCATATCCGTTTCAATTGCTAAAGGAACGTATTGAAGCATTTTGGCCATGCAATCTACTGCAGCATTTGTCACGAGTTTAAACAAAATATGTATGTTCTATTTTAAGAATTTTATAAATGGCAGTTAAATGTGTAAAATATTTAGTAAAGCAAAAACAGAAAAACAACAACAAAATGCAAAAATTAAAACAAATTAAATAAATGTGTTGCTGCCAGTGTATGTATAAAAAATAAGAAACTCAAAGATAAGAGAAAGTCTCATTTAAAAAACTGTCTTCTCCTAAATAATTTAATTTTAAGTCCTACTTAAACTAATTTTTTGAAAATATAATTTTACATTATTTATTTTTAATTTCGTTTTTGATTTATTTACTTATATAAGTTGTTTAGTTCTATGGGAAACTATGAAAAAAATGATATTAAACTGTGTTGCAGTATAGTTTTTAATAAAACATTATGGTATTCAATAATGTGATTTTTTGGAAAATTCCCACTTCATTAAAATATATTTGGAATCCACAAAATTTAGTTCTACAAACTTCTTGAAAGTTTTGTAAATATTGTTGCAAATTCAGTTTTTCCTTTTAAAAACCTAGTCATATTATTGTATTAAAAAAGTCATACTGCAAACTAAAGATCTCTTAATATACTTCACTTTTGTTTATCAAATAATCATTGGTGTTTTTGAACTGAAGAGTGTGAAGTCTCGCACACGAAACCTATTATGATTATTAAATAGGTAAGGACTAACGAGTTTATATAAAGAAAAACTTAATATGCATTTAATTTTTAATAATTTTTGAATATTATTTTATTTTGTTTCATTGTTTCAATTTAATTAACAGTTATTCAAATTAATTTATAAATATTATACACTATATTTCAGTTTAAAAAAAACTCTATATGTAAACAAATATAAATGTGTAAACAAATTAAATATATTTAAAATATTAAACAATATATTTAAAAGTATTATTTTATATTCATAGTTAAGGAATAGTTTGAGTATTTTAGGAATTTCTTTTCAATTAAATTCTTTACATTCCGATAGTAATTTTAAATACAAAAGGTGTAAATTATTTGAAAATTATGAAATTAGGTATGAAAACTATTATTAAAAGATAATTATAAATTATGCATAACATACAGTTAAATATTAAAAATAATTTTATAACCAATAAATTTTTAGTTAGTAAAGGTCTTATCACATGTATTTACAAAGTTTTATATTGTATCCATTGCTAGAGTGTACTTTTCAAATCATTATAAGGTCGCTTTCCATTATAATATAATGTGTATTGATCCCATCAAAAAATACATAAAGGATAGAGCCTTGAAATTATTTGCGAAATCTGACAGACTTACCAACACCGCATTATCAAATCTCAATATAGTTACAGGCTTCTCGGGGAGGTATGCAGATCTGAGGACAATTATTGCTTAGTCTGATAAAGTGATAAACAATAATCTAGTCTAGGCACAAACGGGGGTTTTGAAGAAACCACGCAGTTAATAGAGAGTAAAAGTGCTTAGGTGCACTGACTCAACTAGCCTCAACATAATAATAATTTAGTGCAGTAAAATCGTATTTCAGATATAATTGAACAAACAGTATATATATTGTCTTAATTTATAATATTACAGGAAAAAAAGAATAACAATGTTCTAAGTTCCTATGTGTTTAATTACAGGTATGACAAGTTATCTAATGTATATTTTAAACAAATCTGATGCCTTATAATTAAGAAGTCCGGGGTAGAAAATAGTCTTGTTCTTTATTTGAACCCTAATTTACTGTACTTGAAGAGGTTAGATTTAATGACACTGTACATTTCTTTCTATATTAATTTAATATCTTTTGTTA